AAAGGTACACGAGCTTGATTACCCCACCCATGATTTGGAGTTTGCTGCGGTGGTGTGTGCCCTGAAGCCATGGAGACACTACCTTTATGGGGGAAAAGATTCAAATTTTCACCGACCACCAAAGTTTGAAATATTTCTTCACACAGAAAGAACTTAACCTGAGGCAGAGGAGGTGGTTAGAATTGGTAAAGGACTATGACTGTGAGATCAACTACCATCCGGGCAAGGCTAACGTGGTGGCCGATGCACTCAGTAGGAGGGCAACGAGCATGGCACCTTCGACAGTGCCTTGTAGACCAGTACTAGACGAGTTGGATCGTTCTGAGGTGGAGTTAGCGGTGGAAGATATCTCGGCAGTGTTAGCTCGACTCTCGGTTGAACCCACTTTAAGACAGCGGGTCATCGCTGCACAGAAGGGAGATCCCAGCCTGAGCAAGGGTTTCGGTATGGTGGGCCAAGGGGATTTTTCTCTCTCTGGAGATACGACCCTACTTTATCAGAGGAGACTGTGTGTACCAAGAGACTTCTCTTTAAGGAAGGACTTATTAACCGAGGCTCATAGTACCCCGTTCTCGGTGCATCCTGGGAGCACAAAAATGTACAGGGATCTTAAGAAGCACTACTGGTGGCACAACATGAAGCGCGAAATTGCCCAGTTTGTTAGTAAATGTCTGACGTGTCAACAGGTGAAAGCCACAAGACAGAGACCTGCCGGGTTGCTGCAACCTCTGAGTGTACCTGTGTGGAAATGGGATGACGTAGCCATGGACTTCATTACAGGGTTGCCGATGACGGCTAAAGGTTTCACAGTGATCTGGGTGATTGTGGATCGCTTAACAAAGTCTGCGCATTTCATACCAGACAAGGCCACTTTTTCAGTAGAAAGGTGGGCGGAGTTGTATATGTAAGAGATAGTTAGACTCCATGGCATACCAGCGTCCATCGTGTCAGATCGAGACCCCCACTTCACGTCAACTTTTTGGCGAAGTCTGCATAAAGCACTTGGGATGCAGCTCAATTTTAGTACGACGTTCCATCCCCAGACCGATGGCCAGACTGAGCGTCTGAATAAGATTTTGGAGGATATGTTGAGGGCTTGCGTACTGGACTTCGGTGGTTCTTGGGATAAATACCTGTTCTTAACGGAGTTTGCCTACAACAACAGTTATCAGTCGACCGTTTCCATGGCCCCATATGAAGCTTTGTATGGGAGGAAGTGTAGGTCGCCGGTGCATTGGGACGAGGTCGGTGAGAGGGCCCTGTTGGGACCAGAGTTGGTACAAGAGACTAATGGCGCCATCCAAAGGATTAGGGCAAGAATGCAGACGGCTCAGAGCAGACAGAAGAGTTACGCTGATGTTAGGCGAAGGGCATTGGAGTTTGACGTCGGCGACCACGTTTTTCTTCGTGTGGCACCGGTGAAAGGAGTCCTACGTTTTGGTAAGAAGGGAAAACTCAGTCCAAGATTTATTGGTCCTTTTGAGATCTTGGAGCGCATTGACCCAGTCGCTTACTAGTTGGCCTTACCACCGTCGTTCAGTGCAGTGCATAACGTGTTCCACGTGTCCATGCTGAGGAAGTATGTCCATGACCCTTCACACGTCTTGGATTATGAACCACTGCAGGTAGATGAAACCTTCTGTTATAAGGAGGTACCCATTGAGATCGTAGCAAGAGAGACCAAGGTGCTGCGGAATCGGGCAATTGACTTGGTGAAGGTCTTGTGGAGGAATCACCAAGTGGAGAAAGTAACCTGGGAAAGGGAAGACGAGATTAGAGCCCGATACCCTGAATTATTCGAACGACGAAGTTTCGAGGACGAAAGTTTCTAAGGGGGGAAGTCTGTAACGCCCCGCGTTACTCAGGTTAGTTTATCCTCGAGTCTCCGAGCCTCTTTTCTTAGAAATTTCTTTTTATTTAATTTCATTGTTTCATTTCATTTTATTTCGAACTGCTGTGGTAATTGTTATGAGTGTTGAAGTGTACTTACGTATCTAATTATTGTGTAACGAGGAAATTGTTTTCTCTTCAATTGTTCTAGTCCGTTGGGCCCAAATTAAGTATCTAGGTAAGTGGGTCTTCCTTGTTTTAAAACAAGAGGGAAAAAGAAAAGAACCTAGCCCAAGTGGGTCCCTTCTTGTAAAAAACAAAAGAAAGGTAAGGAGAAAACCCTAGCCCTCAAAACCCCTCCCATTCGTGAGCCTCTACTTCCCCCACCCCCCCGGTTTTAGTTTTCGTTTTTCTTTCTTCTACTC